TATCGTATCGTGACCCTTGTATCGCGATGTATCGTGTCGTGACATGAATGACGATACCCAGCACTAGGGCTGCAAAGATTCACCGTTGAATCGATGAACCGCGATTCGTTCCTTCTTATCGATGCATTGCGGAAGAAAAAAATAATCGCGATACATCGGCCCGATTCTCATAAATATAATTAACTCCCTTTAATGACTAATCACAGAATCCTCTCGTATTTTAGAAATTGTGTCATGTTCAAATGTTAAAAAATTGCTTTTCACGTATTAATTTCTCTTTTGTTATAAACGATGAAAAGAGAACATATTAATATGCCAAGTGGAAGATAAACGCAAGGGATCTGATATAAACTTTTTCTTTTTCCAACGTAATATGTGTTTGCATAGTCATAAAATAATTCCACAAAGCTGCATTCGATGGTTTGGTATTTCATTTATTTTTTTGAAGAAATCTGTTAGTTCTTGTGTGTAACAAATGATGAAAAGTGAATTTTGTACTTCTAAGCTTGCCAAAATAATTTAAACTGTGTTAAACTGTTATTTATTATCAGTTTTCTTTTTCTTTCCTTTTTAATCAAAGAATCGCGATTTATTATCGCAATAAATCGTATCGTTGAACGAGTATCGTTCAGTGTATCGGATCGCCACTTTAGGAATCGTTGCAGCCCTACCCAGCACTAATAAATATTACTGAACATACACGACAAACATAACCAATAAGAACGTACAACCAAAACATAAAATAGTGTTTTGACGGATAAATAAAAGTTCAAGGGACGTAACTGATGTAAATAGATTTATTTGAATTCAGTAGTTCAAGGGAGAGAACTAATCACAAATGTTTTATTATGAAAAGAAAAAAATGTTGCAAACGTGACGAAGCATTTCATTTTGATCAGAAGAGTAAGCATACCCTGTATGGAACCACATTTGGTCGTATATTTTTCGCATGATGACGGCTGTAATTTCGTAAGGTAAATTTTGAGTCGAATTTGATAAATACCCTAGTAGCTTAGATGTTAAATGTTTCGATCTAGCAAATAAATCAGCATAGAAAGAACATGCTCTAGAGTATCGAACCAATTGAGACACATATACTCCAAAAGCTGACGAATTCGGAATATTGTTGCTTATAAAAGGAAAATTGACGATTCGAGGATCATCCCGCTTGTCATATGTTTTTATTTGTCATACTCCAATTCGGATCCGTAACTACTGTCATTAATATATATATAGATTATGACGTCAGTTTATCCTACTTGAGCAAAGTACAGGAATAATCAAATATTTGGATTCTCAATGTAAAGACTGTTTGCCAAATGCCTGCGCCCCGTCGTACAGTTATTATTAGATAAGAATGTATCGTAAATGTACAATTTTACATTGTGAAATACCATACTTAGGATAAAATTGATCGTAAGATATTTTGTGGAAAAGGGCCCTGGTACGTATTTAAAATTGTGAGTTACATGTAATATAACTTTATACATGCTAATTTATTTTTCTTCCAGGTGAACAAATTACTGTATAGTGTCAAGTTTGTGGCGTCAAAGTTACAGGTAATATTAACTTTAAGTGGTATTTAAATGAGACGTGTGTAGAAACCAAATTATTCCTGATATTCAGTTCATGTTTTTTTTAAGGAAATTGATTCTACCTTTAGTCCAACGTTTTAATATTTGAAGGAAATGTGTTAGTGTCAAAATATAAAATAAATATTATTTCTGATGTTCAATGTATTTTGAGAAATTTGTCCCCCTTTTCTTGTGTACATGATTTGGATGGTCCTTATGTCTAAAAGTCATTAGCACAATCTACAAACAGACTGACAGTGAAGTCGAATAACAGAATGACCAAAAGCATTTATAACGCCGGAGAGATGTTTGTTATGAATTAACATACTTCTTATATGTTCATGTTGTTCAATCTAGGTGCATGTATTTGAGGGTTGTTACGGAGCTTCCAGTTGTAATATATACCCATAAACTCGCGTGTAAACCAGGCAAATTTATTTGACTTACTTCTAGACTCTACCGCGGACGAAAGGCAAACGCGGCATCTTGTACACTGTCGTCATGTAACACCGTGGGTGACTGCTGTGACTATGAAATCCTCGAGAGCTGTTGAACCAGAAAGAAACCGAGCGGATCCACGACAGTTGTGATTGGAAAGAAACTTGTGATTTTAACCCAGATCTCAGCAATTTTATACTTTCTCCTACTATGTTTACGATTGTATTCCAAGTAAGTATTGTTCTAAAACTTATATCTAAAATGACTTATGACAGACAAAAACAAAAACATTCCCCTATGGAAAAACAATATTACCTGTGTGACTGTAGACGACGGGAGAAACACAACGGAACGTTACATTACACTTAAGTAAGCGATTGTTGTTCCTTCAAGCTGATTCGATTATCATACTTACAATTACTAAAAGACAAATTATTGGTTACGACTGAAGACGCGACGAGAGGGCAAATATAAGGGCATAGAAGGCTTGTCAGAATAGGAAGCGGTGAGTAATTAGGATGTATTTTGCACTGATTTAGTATCCTTCTGGATAAGTGGATTCAGTTTAGCTTGTTATTAAAGAAAGATGCTATGAGAAAACCGTGTTGTGTTACTCTAGCATTTATTTATTATAAACAAGAACATGAGGCAATTCAGAACACAAACCTGACCAAAGCAAAAATTATTGTAGTCTGAATATGTTATTAAGAGTTACTTCTCTTCAGCTGACACATTAAAGATGTCCTGTTTGTCTTTAATAGTAACAAATGTAATGTAGAAAGAACACCTACTCAGTCACAGGTATAATTCTACCATTGGCTGAGTGAGTCTAAGGACTTGTGTATGCAACGGAGTTGTTTGTCGGGTTCTACTTGCAAACCGCAAAGTAGATTATTCTTACAAACTGTATAGTCGTTTGTAAGAGACTGGATACGGACTTCCAAATGAGATAACAGCTAAGATATTAACAACGTTTTATTTACACTATATCAAACTAACAAGAGGTCTACACTAAATCTGAAGACTAACTGAACATCTAAGGACTATCCAAAACCTAGAATCTGCCCAGCTACTGTCTTGTCCAAAAGCTAAAGAATAAGTGTATGTCCTTCCTCCTTCCCCAAAATATGTTTTCGCCCTATATATATCCTCCGATAGGTGTCGCTCTGAACAAAGAAATAAATTTGAATTTCCCTCCAAATTTGGGCCAACATCTGGAGACACTAGTCTATTTTCTATTGTTACCAAGTACTCAATTAACAATACCCAAGATGTTAATCTTATAGTAAGTACTTATAGGTAACAATAGACCTTAATAGACGTTAACTTGTCATCTACTTACCCTGTCCAGATAATTCTAGAGTATAGTAAATGCTACTATACCCTTTTGTTCCATTGCGACCCCAGGAGGTAATAGCATTAGCGGTGACATCTTTTGTCTCCAGTCCAGGCAACTTTTTACAACATACAACAAGGCTACATGTATGTTTTTGAAAATTCACCTTTTGATTCTGTCACAAAATCCCAGCGTTTGACATTATTCCCATATTCATACACAATTATGACGTCATTTTTCATTTTTATTTTCTGCCATATTTGATTACGTCAAACAATTTTTTAAATAAATTCCAGTAAAATCAATAAATCAATAATATAAGTATAAGCTTTTAGACCTCCATATAATATGAAGAGTTACAAAGTACATGTAGATAGAGAATTAACAAAGAACAGTTCAACATTAGTTCAGTTCTTAAATATGGAGCTATTGTAATTTTAAAAAAATATGCACAGTTTTTCAACAAACATTGCTGGATTAAATTTTAGAAGCTCAACCTAAAACTGAATACTGTTTAAACTGTAGAAGTACATCATATAAACATAATGTTGTAAAAGAATTTATTATCTTGCATGATAATTGCATATAAATAATTTGTAAAGTGAATAATTTACCACATCTATCACAAAATAACTTAACTTGTCTATCTATTTGTATATAACAGCATTTCCTAAGTTCTGTAACTTGTGCTCAATCCGATTGTAAAATATTTCAATAAAATATGTTTAAACTATATAACAGCAGATTTGAATATACAACCGCCATCCAATTAAAACAGGATATTTTTAAATTAACCTTTTTTAACTTAAGTTGCCAAACTGTGTTTTGAGAGTTCAGTACTATTTTCATATTGCAGATGTTTAAACGACTGCATATTATATTATAATATTTTATATTATCTTACATTTCTTGTATATAGTACATCGTTCAATGTAAAGCAATTTATAGAATAGATATGTACATTGCCTCATAAGACAAATAAAAAACTAAAATTTGCGTAATATTTAGCCTCTATCATCATGTCCATCTTCATCTACATAAAGCATCGACGAAAGATCGCCTTAGGGGTTATTCACTAAAGCTGCGCATACGTTCGCGGGTCAGCTAAGTCCATGTAAACCAGACGCACGCTATTCTGGCAGATTCACAAAGGCCATACGTTAATTTTGGAAGCCATCGATTTGATCGAAGCTGATATTGCTGTGCAAACTGAACGTTCCCATGCCACAACTGCTGCACTTTTATGGCTCTGTAATACGTCTATTACACGAATATGCTTCAAACCTATCGCTTATAGCATTTTCATATAATAAGATTAAAAAAAAGCCCTTCCCCAATTGTGCAAAATGTTATGCATTTTGCACTTATTTTGGATAAACTTTTGCAAAATGGATTTACACCCCACTAAAATGAGTTGGAACAACATTTCTATTATAAGTATCTACATCTGTATTTGTTGGATCGGGTTCCGAATTTGAATTGTCGTTATATGTATTCTCTTCCCCACTATCAGCTACCAGTCTACGAAATTGACTATTTCGTCTATGGTTGTCATTTTGAACCACAATATTTTCTGTAAGACGGATATGGTTGAAGACTTGTGTATCTTGTGGAACGTCAACATAATCATAATGAAATTGTTCACTATTTCCAGAACCATAAGCGAGAGTCTTTCGAGTTTTCTCTTGCTTCTTGCGGCGCCTGAAAATGGAAAGAAAACACAAAAATAAGAGTTGTCTTTCAGTATCTTGAATAAAACTAACTCAAGGTTTTTTAGGCATACTGTATAGCGTCACACTGAATTCGATTTAGATTCTAGTAAATGTGAATATATAATAATAACTAGACCTGTTTGACACAGATCTGTCAGCTTCCGAGTTATTTTAATAGGAATGATAGTAAATAAACTATCAAAAGCATGAAATAGAGGAGTTACCTGATAAAACAGTAGAGTGCTATACCGACTATAACTATAATGATAACAGCTGCTAGAATTCCACCCAATATAGCTGTATCGACATTATTAGTTTGATCTGTACCAGTAGTTGGTGCATGATCATTTCGAGTTGGATTTACTATAATTGCAGGACCCTTAGTAGAGGAAACTGTAGCTAAAGGTCTTGAAACAGGGATATATTTGGTAGAAACATCTGTTGTTATAGGGATATCTGTAGTTGTAGGATCTATAACAGAGAATGAGTTGATAACTGATCATCTTAGAACACATAAATATAGATGCTTTCTGAAACTCTTTAGGACAAATAAAACATAAAAATAGCTAGACGTCCGTTATTTTATTACTTTTGTAATTTGTTGGCCACAATGAGTTGCAGTCATTATCATTTCTTCTATACACACATGTAAAATCTGCCAATGTTTTGGTATGGGTCATCAGCTAAGCCATAATAAGCTAAAATAGAACGCACGTCCGGCTTGAGTAGGACAAATGGTAGGACACTTAAGGGGTCAAATTATCAAGTTAAATTGTAAATTGCAATGTTCAAAACTATTTACTATGCTGAAGATAGGCCAATGAGAACCAGGGATTAACAGATTAAAACTTCAAAAAGGTGCCACGCTCAGAGCTGTTCACAGTTCTAATCAATAATTCGGTTCTAGTCAACAAGCTACAAAAAAGATTCAATTCAACCTGCAGTTGTTGTTTCCATTTTTGTGTGTCTTATTGTGGGAATCACTCGTGTAAGCTCAACTGGGCGTCGTGTTATTTTGCAAAAATCGTTTCTGGTACCATAACACAGAGAGAGACTTGGTATTTACCACACAATACCTGTATTTCCCTGTCAATCATAAATTATCTTAACAACAGAATGTTATACACTATATCAGTTCATTATTTAACATATAAAACCTTACCTGTTGAATTTCTACATCCACTACAATTTACAAACATATTCCACCATTTATCATAAGCTAAATTGAAATATTGAATAACCAATAAACAATAACATATCAAACTTATAATTTATTTTCTATGGGTAGATTCCGAAACATTCCGATTGTAAACGTGGAAATAACCAATAGCATATCAAACATATTATAATTAAAGTAAATTTCATTTATACCTTCATCCTTATAAGATTGTTCACAAGAACTCATAAATCCAAATTCAGATAAGCGACAATTGATTCTATTCCTTCAAATTTACTTCAGCAGAGTTGGTCTTGATCCCGAAACGTTGACATTTTTCAACAGATGACTTTGCTTTTTTTTCTTGGTCAAATCCTGCTTTGTGTTTGATTAACTGATGTTTCTAACGAATAAATCAAGTATTCTTGAGTGCTAAGATTGCGTGAGGATGTGGATAAGCTTGGGGATCAAATTTACTGAAATCCGATTGAAAAAGCTACAAATAGATTCCTTGTTTACTCACTGACTAAAATAGATTGTGATAATCTAGCAACATTTTCGTATAAAATATTATTAGCCAAACCATGTTTAAAAGATATTTGTAAGTAAGAAATAATGTAATTAAATACTCTGTGTATTAAGAAAATAAAAAAAAATCGTCATTTCCCTATTTTGGAAACGTAACCATTGAAATTTTAAAATCTTCGGTTGGTATTTGGCTGTTTTGGTAATGTTCGGCTGTGAAAGGTACACATAGAGTAACCTCCCTCGTGGAAATTGTGAGACCTGATAATCTTTATTAAGTGACCGCTCAATTAGCTGATTACGAGTTAATTATTGACTTCTGAAACAAACTGGTATTTTCCCAATCATTAGAACACTCCTGCTTTCGATTTATATAAGTATTAGCCGTCCAATTATGGAATATATATAATTAAATAAATGAAAATTAGGGAACCGAACTTTAAAATAAGTAAGAAATAAAACCTTACTCCGTAACTTAAAGACTATCATATCTTCTACGTCTGGTTGCAATCCTCGTATCTCCAGTTTAAATTCGCTTCCGGTGTAGCCGTAGTATGTATTTAACATCGTTGTTTCAGAACAATTCAACAAGTTCTGATTTTTGTTGAGAAATTTCACTTTGGGACAGGTGTCTGGTTTTAAATTGATGAAGAAAATTGTTAAATACAGCGTCTTTGAACTAGTTATAGAACAGTCACAGTCAATTTTCTGTCCAACAAACTTCTCTCCAGAAAAAAAAAATGCTTGATAGAGTCTGTTTTTAACTATTTTATTAGATATATCTTTGATGAATGATTCTGAAACAAAATAAAAATTCACTATAATATATCAGTTTCACCTTCTCATCTCAAATTCAAATAGCCAAGTAGTTACGGAACTATCACGTTCAATTTGCTTCTCTACAGAGTAATAGACTATAGATATATCACGGCAAAGTTTAGGTAACAACCGAATAATATCAGTTTTTGAAATGTGAAAGATTGAAGTAGTAGATCCAGATATCCTTGGGTAAAGGGACCTTCACACCATAGCGTATGCTGAAAACTTTGATTCTCGTGTAACATATATTTGTATACGCACTAAACGCATTTGAAATTAACAGTTTTGTAAATTTGTAACCTATTCCACCAAAAGATTGCGTGTGAGTTGCACGTGGAATACGTATGGGTTGTATGTGGGCTGTGTGAGGGATACGCACTGAACTTTTGATCTCGTTTTCACTTGAGTGAGTTGCGTTTTACCTGCGTGCTACACGAGTAGTTTTTGCGAATAACGGTCATGTGATAACCACAGTTGCGTTTGGTTGCGAATAAAAAATAGTGGTCATAAGTTCCGAACGCAATTCAAATCCGAAGAAAATACGGTTCCGTTTTATATGTTGTTACCCCGTGATCGTTAATCGCAAAGACTGCTCGTGTAGGACACAGGTAAAACGCAATCATAGCGATAACCAGTTGTGTATGGTTGCCAATAAAAAATAGTGGTCATAAAAGTTCCGAAAGCAATTCAAATGTAAAGTAGGTTTTATAGGTTTAAAGCACGCATCACGGAGATGATTGCAGACATATGTTGAGTAAGATTATGAATTTTGAACATGTTCAATAATTCGTTGCGAATTCCTGCAATCAAATTACAGGGAAGTTACGCACGCAACAGACCGCATCAGGTATGCTTCTAAGGGCTGAATGCAGGTGATAGCAGGTCTTAATTTGAGGACCAGATCTGGTCAAGTTATAGTACTGTCCATGTTGCAAATGTATTGCCCACCTGTTGCGATCTTGTTGCGATCTTGTTGCGTGCTTGTTGCGATTTGTTGCAATCTGCAACGATCATGTTAGCTTCCGTAACCTTATTGATGAATCGGCTTCACTTTTATCACTTGAGAAAATTCGCAAATACCAAGCACCTATCACGCCTTCAATAAATTAATTAATAAGTTATGTTTCAATATACGCTATAGTGTGAGGGCAAGTTTTAATTGTAAGTTGCGTTCAAAACGCGTGAGTTGCGTTCAAGACGTGTGAGTTGCATTGGTGTTACGATAGTGTAACATGCACAGCGTCACATGTGGTTCCAGTTGCGTATAAATTAATCACAGACATTCGCAGAGAATTATTTAATATATTAAAATTTTCTGATATTACCCCGAGTGTCTTTGCGATCACCTGCTTGTTGTCTATTAGTTGCAAGTGAGTTGCTTTCGGAACGACTATTTTTTATTTGCAACCATACACAACTGGTGTAAGGACATCTTAAAGAGTCAGGTGCGTCATTTTTGGGGGTTGATTTGGGTCTTGACTATATGTAAATAGTCATCAGAAGTACCAGAAATGAACGAAAATTGCATAATTCCTTCAAAAATATTTCAAACTATTGTCTGAGCAACTTAAAAAGTTTTTTGTATTTTTTCAATATCGTTTAAGAGAATTGGCAGCCTCAAAATGGTACTGATAGTTTTAGAATGTATTTGCGTTGATATTAGTTTCTATAAGTTTACATTAAAAAGAATTCTCTCCGAGAAATTTCAACCCAAAAAGTCCCAAATTTTGGCTGAAAATTTTCTATATATGACAGTGTCTCAAAAAAAGAAGACTCGTCTTTGTAACTTTCGAGCGCAGATGATTCTTGATTTGAAGGCTTAAATTTCGACGAGGAGCTGTGAACACTATTACTGATTGGCTTAACTAAAACAATTCCCGTTTCTGAGACTAAAGTATGATTGGTAAAAAATGGCGGTAAATCAAGCTAGTCCAGTAGTACTAGTAGAGAAAGCATATATTGTTAAGTTATTGTGGTCTGGTGGTATAATGGTTGCGAATTCTTGCAGGAGTTACGTCATTTCCGGTTAACTCTTGCAGGAACCACAGGCATTGGACGAAAAATTGGAATGTCCCAAAATAGAAGCCAATACACATAAAAATGTTAGAGAAACCTTTTTTACAATCCCTTTAAGCAGACATTATTTATGCATAGAAATGTCAATTGAAAGTCAAGACCTACATCGAACAGTCTTAATTCAGTCTCGAACAGTCATAATTCAGTCTCGAACAGTCTTAATTCAGTCTCGAACAGTCATAATTCAGTGTCAGCCATCTTTTAAATGAATTAGAGCTTTGTTTGTTATTGTATACATTTTTATATGCAGTCAATATAGATTGCATTATAACAAATAGCAAAAAACTTTCGGTTTACTCACTATCGCCTAACCATCGTCTACTGGGAAATGGAACACTGGTTAGGGGGCATCTTCAAAATATCAAGGTATTCAGAAAAAGCAAAATGATGTAGGTAATACCTTGACATTGCCAGGATGCCCCCTGATCAGTGTTCCATTTCCCAGTAAAACATAAGCACTAAGATAAGCATTCTTCATCCTAAACTTAATACTTTTAAAATTTAAAAAAATGTAAAAAGCTAGGGCCACATTAGAACACATTCCATTTAGAGACAGAAAAAGAACACAGTAATCAATCTAAAATACTTACTATCATGACAGTACAATGGAAAATTCACCCATCTCTTATTCCCCGTCTTTATTCTCTCTTGGATATTTATTTCACAGGAAGTTTTAAGCATACAGTTTTTATACACTTCAATTCGATCTTGTTTGTTTAAAATAGATGTGGAGTCACTCTCTTTACATGTTTCATAGCTGTCTAATGGACAGTCATCAGAATCACTGGCACCTGTTTTCATATGATATATAAAAGGTTCCATTTGAATCACTTGATTTTTATTCTTACAACTTACATTAAAAACTGTCTCGTCTCCACAACCACATAAAAAACACAATGACTCATTACAGTTTTGTTTCATCAGACCATCTGAATCTGAAATAAGAAGAACCACAATCATGTTATAATACAGAGTCGTTTGAATCTGAAAATAAAAGAGATTATTAAAGGGGTAGTGAGATTATTTACAATGTAAAATTGTTAGTATTAAAAACGATGTAAATTATACACGATACTATTTGTAAATATACTAGTTACTTCTATAGATGAACTTGATCAACTTGAATTTGTCCTAGAAGAATTAATAACAGTATACTATTTGTTAAATATGTAGTTTAGACGAGTTAATAACATAACAGTAAAGACTGGTAAAAAGCTTGGTAAAAAACACTATTTCTCTACAACTTGACGTATATTTTGCATAGATCCGTACATTAATTTTTGTAAAATGTTAACGTAAACCTTTTAGATGCTTTCGACTTTTTTAGAAAATAACGACAGGGAATTTTTTAACTACATATGCAGGTAATGTATGTGACACACATCTCTAGATTTTGGTCCATAGTTTTTCGTTAATTTGTGCAGCTATTTTTGACACGGTACTCATGGGATGTGACGGGATTTTGAAAGAGGTAAATAATTGAAGATGAAGATCGTGAACACTACTGTGGTATACATGCATTATATTGTTGTTTTGTTTTTCTTTGTATTTTATAATAACATCAACCAGTACCTGTTCAAGTTAATATTAATATAATCATAGGTAAATAAATAATAAATAAATAAATATATAAATTTTACCTGTAAAGGTGGACATAAGAAACATCAAACATATTATTAACTTCATCTTTCCTGGCCTCCAGCTTGATGGTTACTCATTGCCTTGAGATGATATCTAATATTTAATCATATTCCTTCAGTGTTTGTCGATATCCACTGTGAGTTTTTCATTCAAACATTATATTTATATGGTTTATGATTCATAGGGAAATAATTTTCTTTATAATCAAAATTATTCTTTTCATCGGTTTTATGTGAGATACATTATATACACTGTGCAATTATACACGAACAACAAATTTCATATCAGGTTACTGTTTACCCAAACGTAGAATAGATATAAGGGGTGAAAGCCGACACCGGACCGACTCTCGAAAGCACAGGCACAGGCATCAGGATTTTTTTTACCTTCCGGAACATCCGAACCCACGGCACCTAATCGCCTTGCAGACGACAATCCAACTCGCTACCGACTGAGTAAAGTTACTATCGAAAAGAAACAATTCACTATTCAATGGTAGGCACTGGCCCATGGTTAAAGTAATGTTTGTATCAATTGTGATGTTAATTTTCAATTTCATTTCGTATTAAGAATTAAAATGATATTAAAAACTTATAATGTTCACATACATATGATTGTAAAGAAAGGAAAAACCAATGTTAATACTTCATTATGGAGAAAAATATTATTTTTTTTATAAAAGGTTGTGCTTCAAATTTCTCTGAAATGATAAAGAAAAAGGATGACTGGCTACCTCCTGTATAGAAAATAGTTCGTTTCATTATGAATAATTATGAAACTACAGTGTATCTAAACCACGCCACCATTTGTCATACTTCCTGTCAAAACCTGTATTCGTGATGATAAAACTAATGAAAGCGAAAGGCCGTTATGTGATTAAGTATAATTTGAGATTAGAAGCTTTATCCAACACTTAGTTTTAGTGGAATTGCAGGAACCACAGACGCCTGATTCAAAATTGGATTGTTAAAAATGATGCTAGCACTGTCTCCGAAACACAAACAAACTTTAGAAAACCTCTTTACAATCAATTTAAGTTTCATTGAAACATTGGCAAACGTGCAATCGAGGGGGGCAATTTAGCAAAGCACCTTAACAGACGATTAAACGTCGGGAAACGGACTTTCATGGAGTATTTTAGATTCAAGATTATTTTTGTTAAAACACACAAGTTATAATACGTTACATTTTTATTGCCGTTTTTGTTTAAACGTAGTCTAGTATGTTTTATGGCAAAACGTTGAACAAATACGTCCAAGTTAATTTTCTGGGTACGCTTCCTGTTGAAGGCAAGAAGAACAAGATTGCGCTGGCGAAGCTGAGTCATAGATCGTCGTTGCGGTGAGTCAACGTGAGTAAGATTTGAAAAGCTGCTTTCAAACACAGCGGTACCAGAACCGAATGTGGCAACGCTTGCAGCTAGTGCATATAATTTAGGGAAAGCCAATTTCTGCTCGTATAGTTTTTGAAGAACAAGATTGGAGTCCTGATTTTCTGTCTTGGCAACGTTATCTTGGAGAAATTGTTTTGACACCTCAATTGTTATGCTTCTCGAGACCCTTTCCAGTATCACCTACAGCATGCTTCCAATCTGTGTAGCCTTCAGTGATGAATTTTTATTCACCCGCAGATGTATTGTGAAACACCCGACATGGAAATCAAAAAGGGTCGTCCCTTGACACTGAATACTGCAGCCATGGAAATCGATCATATCAGCAGTTACTAAAATGGCGACCAGACTTCGCTGGAAATTTTATTCTCGGTTGCTTTGGAACGTCTTCTTTTCCAATGTCACCTGGTACTCCTGTCTTTTCAGAGCATCTTGGTACTGTGTTGCGTACATTGTTGTGTTGCCCGCTGTGGTTTTGATACCATTGTCAGTCGTAGTAGTGTCGGAACCATCAAGCAATTTGTCTTTTTTGATCAAATATTTATCCATTTTTCCTACGTTTGGTTGTTTGATTCATATGAATACAATTTAGGATAATATATGTCTATTAGTATTTATAATCAACCAATCAAATCTTTTGAATTTTGAGACGGGACAGATTACAATCCAGTATCAGACCAATAATTTTGTTACCAAGGACGCTTTACTGCAGACTTTTTATGATTTTCAACGAACTCAATTGTATCAAATTATCTATTCTTATGTAATTAAATTTAAAAATGTTATGAAAAGCTATGATGTCTGGTTTCATCCTCAGCTAAGTATAAACAGAAAGATATTTAAAAACAGTTCTAGGTCTACAGATAGGAATACTTAGTATTTTGTTGAACCATTTCGCATAACGCAGCCCTGAAAGCCATAACCCTATTTTTCGTTACGTATAATCATAATATCGAAATACTCATCATATGATCGACAATTCAAGAGCAGCTGACTGGTGCACTTACTCCACCATAAAATGCCTGACCAGAATGACCACTGTTGGCTACTCCTTTTAACTCAGGAAAAAGAAAAGTTGTTTTTTAAAAAAGTGCCCGGTACTTTTTTTTAGGGGGGGGGGGGGGCAAGATTTGATTTAGGGGGGACAAAGCCCCCCCAAGCTCCCCCCCCCCCCTTGGCTACGGGCCTGATGTCTCCTAAAAAATTCAATATATGATGACCATGAAAATTTTGAGCTAATAAAATTGAAAGTAGACTACTGCCCCTTATACTCATCCGCTAGAGTTTGGCAGTTCACAAAACGACTATTCCAATTCCGCCTTTAGGTCTCTCATCATCTCACCAAATCTGAACGATAATGCAATTTCAGACATCAAATTCCAAATCTATACCAACAATTACTCAAAAATAGGCATGCAAAAACCCCAAAGGGAGAGAGAGTGAAGATTTCTGAAAATAGCCTGGTTATGTTTTAGTGGAGTGAGCCCGTCTCCTATCGGTGTGTTATACAGAGTTGTGTCCCTTGGTACCGTCATTTCAGCATCTATATGGACTCACTCCACTAATTCATTTTCCATCTCTTCCCATGTTAAAACACGAAATTCAACCTTCTATAACTTTTTCCAGATATCTCGTTGAAAGCTTTCCAATATGTTGAATGAAAGCCTGACCAATTCTCAATGTCTCCTAAAAAATTCATTATATGATGACCATGAAAATTTTGAGCTACTAAAATTGAAAGTAGATCCAAAGAGGTCAACATGGGGCTTATCAGGCCTTATTGAGTGAATAACAGCTAACAGATCAGGTCAGCTTCAGAAATGCGCATGGATGTAACTTCATTTCACCAATTATTAGCAAAGGTGGAGCCATTAATTGCCAAGGAAGATACAGTAATGAGACCTGAAATATCTTTAATTAGAGTGTTATAAAGACACGGGCTATCTTCATACAGGCTAATTAATTTAGTAACATTCTGTACGGTCCAACCTTTTTCTGTGTTGGTCGCCATTTTGAAAGGTTGGAAGACACATGACTTCTATACGGCAGCTGATTTGTTAAAGATTGATAACTAATTTAAATATTGCCAACATTTGTTGGAAAGATGAAACATGCAGCTAAAATTTTCAACAACCTCATACATGTTTGACTATGTTCAACCTTGTTGGGAAAGCCGTCTACACGATCAAACATTTGTCCACGAACACCGTCATACAAATGTATGACGATGTTTTGAACAAATGTATGATCGTGTAGACGGGCCTATAATGGATTAAATTAGTGATTAAGTACACAAACAGACACATATCTCACCCTCTCGGTCACAGAATGGGTAACGTACAACTGGTAATGTTATTCATACTGATCAAAGTCTGGTCTGAAGTAATACGTGTATTTCATTCGACTATATGTCCACATATATGAAGAAAGTATATCGTTTTGTTTCGATGACTGACTTTTTCATCACATACACAAGATCTGAATATCATTACCAGAACAACTGTCTCATTTATCATTTCGTGTTTTCTCTGACAAGGATCGGTATTACATCATATCTTAACGAGTAACGATTTCTAAGGGTCTCTCCAAAGACATTCATACATAGGATGGCCGGGACATGAACGTACTATATATACTGGACTCTTGGAAGAGATAGTAAGGTTACTGAAAAATCAATGAGTCTCAATGTCATAGGCGTACGGACTGGAGACCTGTTGGGAAGTAGGAGAGGGGGGGGGGGGGTTTGTCCGAAAATTTTGAAGGGTTGAGAGTCCGACTCCGAGCACCGAAGGAGTACATCTAGTTTTCAGGCAAATTTTATCAAGTTAGAGAAATTTACCGACGGACTTTTCCTATATTTTTCTTTGTTTTCGGGTTTCGCGTATATATATTCTTTCAGAACATTATTTTAGCACTGAAGAGAAAAAAATGGGACGATATATTATGATCTTCATATAGCCTGAAAACAAAAACGAATGTCTTAACACATGAGAGTAATAGATTTTTGTTTTGTTTCAATCTGTAAAGCACATAAAGGTTTCTGCTGGTGACAGATGGGCGTATTTTAAAGTCGCTCGTGTGCCCTCTCATGTCGGCCGAAAACATATTTTAATCGTGTTGATCGGGCGAAAAGTATCAATAGTGGATACTTACAGGAATATGGTGAGGGGAAGAGTGGGCATAAAACACCAACCGTAACAGAATGCTTTACCATGTATTCTTTGCTTAGTAGCAATTAACATCAAAATCTAAGAAATATTGTGATACTACGGACAGTGCTGTCGGCCTATAGCGTCAGCTTTCAATCTCACTTTATCTTTAAATTGAAAAGTTCCGGTGCAGTCACCGCAGTGTTATAATTTATTAACTATTCCAATGCTGTCCCATCTTTCAACCCCCAAATTTTGCCTCAATGCACATTGTATGGTTTGCTCGTTTTCATTAGCCCGATTAGGTGTAGGAAATTAGAACGTTTCATTTTGTACTGGTCGCCATAGTGGTAGTGTTAAGAGAGTCAATACCCATGTCTCTATTTCATAGCCTCAGCTTTTAACATTTCAGATATATAAGGACACGTTTTCTGGATGGAAATGAATTGATAGTTACCTCTTTTCCGCACCCGAAAATAAAGATACAATGTACAATGAGGAAAATA